CAAGATTGGATAAAAGAAATTTATTCATCAAAGACTCAAAGACCTTACTAATAACCGAGAAAAGACTGATTGGATGGGTCATATTGTTTACTAGAATTTTTAAAAATTGGAACCACAGATATCATTTTCCAGCAGGCAGGACACCAAGGTTCAAATAAACACTTATTATATAGTTTAGAGAGAATTGAAGAAAGTTTCTGTAGAACACTTTTGTAAGACTATAACAGGAATGTTGTCCGGACCACATGCCGTATAAGTGTTTAATTAAGATATGACTTTAACTACAGAAGTTAGAGTGATTTGAATGTCTAACATTGGGTTTACCTGTTTAACTGGAATTAAAGGAAGGGTATGGCCATAATATTCAAGAATCAAGTTAGAAGAAAAGTTCTTTGCAAATAGTTTAACCTTATCCTTCGGAGAGGTAATAAGATCAATCCCATGAATGAAAAATCGAATGTTAAACCTACCTTAGTTAAAGACGCTTTTAAGGATTTTCCAAGAGTCTCTGGAGTCTAACTTCTAAAATAAGATACGAGATTAAGTGAACTGTAAATAATGGGACTTAACATCAGACAGCACCATTACTTGCATTTGTTTTTTGCAATAATAATACATTTGTTTACAAGAGAGTTGTTCTTTTAAAAAAGATGAACAAAATTATCACCATTAGATAAAGCAGCTGCACAAGAAGGTAAAAACCATGGAATAGAATGAGGCTTGACTTGGAGCCAACGAGAAAGAATAAAAGCTTCTATTTCTGCCTGAATCCAAGAAGTTTATTAGGAGATGCATTTATTTGCGAAGAAGGAAAAAACATCAGCCCAAGTTCTGTAACAAAGAAAATCGCGAAATGAATCCCAGTTTTAGGGTAGTAGTAAGTAGTGCGATGGTTAGTCTGAAAAAGACATACGAGATGAAAGATTTTTAGAGATCACTGCATCGTCGGAACCGCCTAAAGGAGAAAAAGAAGCTAGGTTCAGAAACAAGACACTAATCAAGAAATAAGAGATTGAAAAATACAGAATTTGCGGTTTTTAGTGCCAGCAAGGTCAGTGATGTTAGAATTAAGCCATTCAGTGTGATAAACATTAAAGTCTAATAATAAAAATTTATATATTGTATATAACAACAATATATCTGTAAATATATATATTGTATATAACAACAATATATATATATATATATATATATATATATATATATATATATATATATATATATATATATATATATATATATATATATATATTGTATATAACAACAATATATATATATATATATATATATATATATATATATATATATATATATATATATATATATATATATATATATATATATATATGTATAGATATATATATATACATATATATACACATATATATGTATATATATATATATATATATATATATATATATATATATATATATGTATAGGATTTGTCTTTCTAAGCAAATGCTACAATAAGTGTGGTTCCTATTATCAATACTATCTAATATCTGTCACGCCTAGTAGTATATGTATATATATATATATATATATATATATATATATATATATATATATATATATATATATATATATATATATATATATATATATATATGTATAGATATATATATACATATATATACATATATATATATATATATATATATATATATATATATATATATATATATATATATATATATATATATATATATATATTTATACATATATATATATATATATATATATATATATATATATATATATATATATATATATATACATATATATATATATATATATATATATATATATATATATATATATATATATATATATATACATACATATATATATATATATACATATATATATATATATATATATATATATATATATATATATATATATATATATATATATATTTATATATATATATATATATATATATATATATATATATATATATATATATATATATATATATATATATCGTTTTAGTAGATTTGCAGTGGACCTATATAAGCATTTTTTTAGCGATTGATTAGAGTTTTGCTAATCGGTTTCTTAGTGGACCATTAGTGGCAGCCGTTATAAATAGTAAGCCGATAATTTTCTGTCATTTTAATAGTGGTTAGTTATCGGCTAGCCACTTTTGGCGGCTGCCATTTTTGGCGGCTGCCACTAATGGTTCACTAAGTAACCTATGAGCAAAACTACAACGGTCCGCTCAAAATGCCTATATAGGTCCTCTAAAAACCCGCTATACATGTCTGCTGGGTATATATATATATGTATGTATAAATATATATTTTTTGTCTTTCACACAGTTGGAGTTGTCTTAGTTACTGTGGACTGACTTACTTCTGTAACTTACTTTATATGTTGTAACTTTACTTTATATGACTTCTGTAACTTACTTTATATGTGTTTTGTCTTAATCTCTAGCGCGGTGTTCATTTTAACATGTTTGTTTTTTAACATGTTTGTTTTTTAACATGTTTGTTTTTTAACATGTTTGTTTTTTAACATGTTTGTTTTTTAACATGTTTGTTTTTTAACATGTTTGTTTTTTAACATGTTTGTTTTTTAACATGTTTGTTTTTTAACATGTTTGTTTTTTAACATGTTTGTTTTTTAACATGTTTTTTTTTAACATGTTTGTTTTTTAACATGTTTGTTTTCTGTCTAAATCTCTAGTGTGGTGTTCGCTCACCAGTAAGTTATTTTATTTATATCTGTGTTCTGTTTAAAATCACTGATGCAGTGTGAGCTCAGGAACCGACTAATATAACGATAAAAACTACGCTTACCTTCTCTAATCTCTAGTATTTTGCTAAATGCAATGTTTTTCCAAGTGCATTTCCAGAAAATTTCCATGTGTTTTGGAGTTGTGCTTAGAGGAAGTAACTTCTTTTAACTACTTCAGATTTGAGATCATCGCAATCACCCTGTTACTGATATCATGTAGCCTAGTATTAACTGTTGCCTTGTAGGGTTCACTTTTTTTTAGGCAAATACTAGGAGAAACAAACTACAATTTGAAAATTATCTGCCTAGGGGTTTTTGGTTGGTTAAAAACTAGAGATGGTGTCTTGATAAAAATATTCTTCTTAGACTGATGTTAATTGCATCCAGCTACTGTCTTGAAGAAAGACTTCTTTCAAAAAACTTTATGGATAGCTCTGGATCTTATTGACTTTACTAAGAGACTTTACTATGCAAGGCAGCTGATTCCATCAACAGCTGTAAAAAATCAGAGTATTAGCAGAGTCAAAGTCTTTTGATACGCATTGTTAAAGCGCATTAAAGCATTGTTAAATTTCAAATTTGCGTTAATTAGCAAGACTAAAACAACTGCATAACTCATTGCTTGGGCTTGAGGTTGATATTTATCTATGAATGACTCAAGTTCTTTTTAAACGCAAATCATGCCAAAAGTAAATCAGAATATTAAATTTAAAAAACCATCCCCATCACCTAACTTGTTTAATATATCTTTTGCAAATATTATAAGTATCGCATTTTTATTAATACACTTTATCCCCTTTTTCTTTGTTCTTTATCGTTCTCCTTCTTCCCAAGACTGCCCTCTTTTAGATGTAACTTCTAACTAAATTGACCATGCCCTTTTTCTTCATCCCTCTGCATATATGCATATTAGGTGGCTTTTAAAACAACCTTTTTGAGAAAAACCTGCTCTGATCCCTTTAATTTGTTTTATATAATACTAAAACACTAGGTTTAAAATTTTTTTGAACAAAAAATATTTTTAGGGGTGGCTCAAGACCCTTAAAAATTTGACGGATCCCTAATATTTTGATAAAAAAAGTTCTTCTAAAGTATGTCAACCTGGTACTCAGAAGAAGCAAAATTATATAAAAACTTTAAAAATAATAATCAATTTATGTAAAAAACATGTTTAAAAAAATTATTCTCAAAAAGCTTGACAATATTGACTTTTTTAATTTTCAGCTTAAAAACAATAGTTTTTATGCATTTATACCTGAAAAAAATATTTTTATGAAAAATAATTTTTATTTTTAAATTTTTTATATAATTTTGCTTATTTTGAGTAACAGGTTGACATACTTTAGAAAAACTTGTTTTTTCAATATATTAGGGACCCGTCTAATTTTTTAGAGTCCTGAGCGTGGCGCAGTGGTTACAGCGCTTGCTTTATAAGCAGGAGATCCATATATATATATATATATATATATATATATATATATATATATATATATATATATATATATATATATATATATATATATATATATATATATATATATATATATATATATATATATATATATATATATATATATATATACATATACTACTAGGCGTGACAGATATTAGATAGTATTGATAATAGGAACCACACTTAATGTAGCATTTGCTTAGAAAGACAAATCCTACCAGTAGCAGGGTGATTGTGATGACCATGCATCTAATCTTACTGAACTTTTGAGTTTACAAAACAAAAACAAAGCTGAGTACTTTTGTTTGTTTAAATACTTTGCGTTTTTTTGTTAAAGTATAACGCAGCGTATTTCAAATGTTTTGCTGAGATACAGAAAGAGTACAGAGACTTTTTTTTTATTTTAATTTAGAAATTATCATAACTATATTTTCTTCATTTGTTGCCATCTTGCTTTCAACACGGTGGAATACTCCGGTTTTAATAACAATATGTTTGAGTGTTTAGCACTTTTTCAAAATATTTGCGAAATCTGAACTAATTCTTTTTCGTTTTTATTATTAATGATAAATAATCTTGTATCTTTGTTTAAACTTCTGAAAGCATTCTAATTATTTAATGCTTGTTGTTATTTAAGTTGTTACCCGGTTGGGCACGCGTCACACAAAAATACATACATACATACATACATACATACATACATACATACATACATACATACATACATACATACATACATACATACATACATACATACATACATTAAATAAAACAAATATTTTTTATTAATAATAATATTTTAAAAATAAAAGTTAAATTAAATTAGTAAATAATAAATTATAATTAAAAAAGTTTAGAAGAAGTTTCACATAAAGTGTGTTTTAAAATTTTATTAATTTTCTGTATTTCTTCATCAAACTCTTGAAGAAGCTTTCTGCGTACTTCAAGTTTTTTTTGTGCTTCTAATTTACGAATTTCAAATTCACAAACTTTAGGCGTTGGTAGCGTTGGTAAAAGTGTAGAAACAACTAGACAATCGCTTGCATCAATAACGGTTACTTTTTTCGTAACTTTAGAAACTTCTTCAAAGCTTTTTTGAAGCGATTTAGAGGGTAGATTATTTTCTTGAATAAAATCTTCAAAAATCATACTTTTTGAGTATTTAAATTTCGAAAAATTTTTAATAAGAGAATCAGATGAATGTTGAAGAAAAAAGTTGTTTTCGTCAATTTCCCTCACCTCGTTTGTTCTTAGAATTGACGAAACAAACACATTATTACGAGCGTCTGCATCTCTTATCTATTAGAAAAAAAAACATAAACAATTATATTTCATAGCAACATAAACAAGAACTATTTTTATTTCTATTATCTAAGAATATATATATATATATATATATATATATATATATATATATATATATATATATATATATATATATATATATATATATATATATATATATATATATATATATATATATATATATATATATATTTATATATATATATATATGTATACATATATATATATATATATGTATATATATATATATATATAGTGCCGTGCAGACCTATTTTGAGGCCCCAGCAGAGTTTCTTGTTGGGCCCCCAACCACTATTTTTTTTACCGATTTTAATGTATATTATTACAATATAGTATTATTACGGTATTTCATGAAAAATATTTATAACTTGACATATTCTTCCAATTTTACAATGCAATCTTTCTGGCCTGAATTATTGCAAACTCTCTTATTATTTCCTCGTACTTAAGACTAGTGCTTATCTCATGCTCAATGCTCAGTAATGCTAGCCCATTGAGTCGCTCTTGTAACATGGTGGTCCTCAAATATGTCTTAATCATTTTCAGCTTGGAGAAAGATCTCTCCCCTGTAGCAATAGTGACTTCGAAGTGCTATTCAAAGGTAATGGTATAGCTCTGTCATATTTTTCTTGGTAATTTATTGGAGCACTTCAATTGGTGACGTCACATCAACTGGTAGTAAGTTAAAAATATTGAAAATTTCCGTGAAAAGTTCTTGGCTGTCAATATCACTTCTCCCCTTTCTATCCAGTTTTGTTTTCAACTCTTCACAACTAGTCCTTAACCCTTCTTTATCATTATTCATGTCTGGAGTGCAATCCAATATGAAGGTAAAGTATTTTACCACCTTTAGACAGTTAATAATTTCAGTTTGTACTTTTCTTGACATAAGTATGATTAGCTTATTTGGAATCTTGTTGCTTAAATAATGATTTGGCAACTGATTGTTGGTTACTCGACGAACATGCTCCTGCATGACATTATCAAACTTTAAAAATAACTCAACTAGACCAAGAAAGTTTCCATTCCCATGGACAAAAAGATTTTCCTCGCTGGTACGAAAAGCCAATTTTTTTTGTCAAATATTGAATAATTTCCACAATTCTTTCAATTACTGATTGCCAGTATTGCTGTTCTTGCTGAAAGATAGAAACTCTGATTCTGTTGATCGATTGTACTGTTTGCTTTTCAGCGACTTTCCAGCTCCTTTCATTTTATCCAGAAATTGTTGTGTTCTTGTGAACGATCATGCTCACTTAACATGGAATAAATGTTATTCCAATCACGAAAGCCACTGGTACTAAGTTTTTGTTTATCGACACTTAACAACTTGCTGCAAAAACAGTATACGGCATCTGCTTTTTTTGAGTATACAAGCCATAATCTTGATATGGATTAATCATTTGTCAGGAATCTATTGTAGTTTGAAGCACAAAATTTTCGTTTTGCTTTGGAATTGGAAAAGCAACTCTTTGGGAAAACATAATCCTTTACCTGTATTGGACCTGATAGAACTAATTGTTTTCGAAGATGAGACAAATCATCAGGCCAGTCTGCAGCATCTGAAGAAATCTTGAGAAACTCAACCTCATGAATTTTGTTGGTGTCAGTTCCCTTGATGTTTTAATTGATGCAGGTTCTGCCGAAGAGTTTGGTACAAAAATACTGTCCTCACCATTTTCATTAATTGCTTTTTCCTGAATAATCAACTGCCCATGTTAGAATTTTTGAATAGGCAAAACTTGATTTTCGTGTTGTGGTCTGGTAAAAAATGAACTAATTTTTGGCAAAAGTTCAATCTTTTATTCATCCTCTTGCTTTTTCTTTCGTTTTCTAAATCCACTTGCATAACTTCGACTCATTCTCAAAGTCCACAGTTTTTAGTACAAGTTATCACATTACACAATTTTCAACATGTTCTGTGTCATTAACTGTATCACGGACGTACTGAGAGTAATAGACGCCAGTCTCTCCAATTTTGCCCAAGAGTGAGCAGTATTGATGAACAAAGAAGAGCGCGAGCATAGTATTACATTGAGCAATGCTGTAATGGTCTCTGCTTCAAAGACATTTACTGTAAAATTGGACGAATATTTCGTAAATTAAGTTTTAAATTTAAATGTTTTTTTTTTACTTAAAAAGTTTGAAAAAATTTGAAGCCCCTTGGACGTTGGGGACCCCAGTGCCTACTATTAGGCAAGCTTGCCTGTAAATAAATTTGTAAATTTTGTATTTATTACAAAATTTGTAAATTTTGTAATAAATACAAAAAACAAATTTTCTAATCATAAAGAGATATAAATGGGATTAGGAATTAACCTAATAGACCTACTAAAGAATTGGTAACTTGAGCTTACCAATAAAATAAAAAGTGACATCAAAATATCAATGTCAATAATGCATTTATTCAGGAAAATAATTTGCAGGCTTTAAATGTAATAAAGTTTTAAAAGTAATAACTTTCATCAAAAAAAATTTTGGAAAAAAAATTGGGAGAAAATCACTCAACAAAAATTTTTCTCATTTTACAATGTGTTTCATCATTAAAAACTCATCAGAAATCTTTATTGATGAAACACAGTGTTAAATGAGAAAAAAAAGTTTGAGTGATTTTCTACTAATTTATAATTGCTCTGTTCTTTTAATAACATTGAGCAATCTTTTTTGTAGAGCACTCTATAGACTTCCTGATGAACCGTATAATTTTAATTGTATTCTATATAATATATAATTTTAATTGTATTCTACAAAATTAAGTGCTCAATTTTCTTAAAAGAACAGAGTAATAAATTAAATTATTTTCTTTTCTGATGAATCTTTTATAGATAAACAAAATTTTTATGTATTTCTGATGTATACTTATTTATACAGTTTGAATATGCAAATATTGGTTCCAGTCTTCTTTTTTTTCTAAATCGAAAGATTATGTCAGTTGCCCTTGAGCGTTTATCTTCATCTGAGTCTGCTAACATCGCAAACAATAGGTTTTTACAATGAGAAAAGTATGCACTTCGACTTATGAATACCTTCACAATAGCGATAGTACCACTAGAAAGATCCTTTAGAGGCTGAGTTGGCAGTTCTCAATTCCTGTTATTAACTACGATGCAAACAACTGGGTGGAACTTATTGATTGGGTTAATGCATCAGAGCCACCGGTTACTATGAGCCTAATAAATGAAGAAATTGACCAGTTAAAAAAAATGCCAATTTATGTTAAATATCCTAATCAAATACATGTTTTTGAACGCTGTTACGAGAGCCTTGCTGGCATTTACAGTTTTAACACTCAAAACGGTTTTGTAAGACCTCGAGTTCGCTATTGCAATTTTATGCCTACTTAATAAGTATTGCATACTTATTTACTGATACTTGTTTAAGTATTTAAATTGTAAAGGTGAAATACAAAAAATACTTCAATAAGTTTAACGTTCATGGCTCCAAACTTGTGTGATCTGAACAAGCACATACATTTAGCGTACTCAGGGCCGTCAATAGGGTTGGTGGTGCCTGGAGCAAACGTATTTTCAACGCCCCCTCCCTCCAGTTATAGTGGCGTATATAAACTTTTTATGCTGTTATCGATACTTTAATAGATACGCCACCTACCAATCTATCATAAAGATATATATATATATATATATATATATATATATATATATATATATATATATATATATATATATATATATATATATATATATATATATATATATATATATATATACATTCAAACAATCAATCTTTTTTGTGTCATTTATGTACGTAGGTAGGTTCTAATTAACTTTAACTTGCTAAAACTACGTTCACTGCTAGCCTCATTAAAATTGTCAACAATATGCCTAATGCTATCCACATCTTCTATTCACAGATTAGAAAAACAGTCTTTTCTATCAGTGTTTTTTGATTATATTGAGTGTTTCAAATGATAATAATGTTTTGTTGGCCGCCTTCTGCTCATACCGTTTATGACCTCCTTTTGGATATTGACACTTTGTTTTGTTTTTTATAACCTGACAGTTTTTTTAACATTTTCAATAAAAAAATATTCAAATTAACAGTGCAAAACTTTATTTTTGTTTCTGGAAATATAAAATCTTCATAATGTAAGTTTTTTAATTCATCATTAAGGTTACTACTGATTACATTTTGCAACCTTTTTTATTACGACATTTTTATTAACTTAGCGATATTTTTTAAATGGACTAAAAAGTAAAAATTAAACTCGAGACTAAAGGAGTTTGTGTAATTACGCAATTTGAAATATCCATTAAATTCAATGACAGAAAATGTTTGGCGCCCTAGGTATTTTATTAAGTCATGAAAAAAAATTACCGCGGCACCCGTGGTAAATTTCGCCCATCACTCAATCTCGCCCACTATCTTTGATTAGTTATATGTCAGTGAACCTACCACTAAATCAATACAAAAAAGTTCATCGAGAGCAGCAAGCCAGTCTTCATCAAAATAAAAAAACAACCTTGACCTCAAAGAAATTGTAATTAAAGAAGTATCTATCAAAGAAACTTAATCGATTTTTGGTAAGTTTTTTGGTACTTAACTTGTCGATTTTAAACTAGCCAATCCGAACCAACCGAGTAAATATGTTGTTGTACTTTTTAAGTTATAGTTTTATTTTGTTTGAAATGGCAAGTTATGCCTCAAATTATTTTCTGCCTAACTTACCCAACGTAACTCAAGCTCGCCCACAGAATGAATATACTCTCGCCTAATGCATTCAACCTCACCCCGGCAGGCGAGAATAGATTAAGCATGTTATACAAACTGTTATTTCAAAGATTTAATTGAAATTTTCTTGAAATCACCCACGAACATTAAATGGATATTACCCCTGTACGTTACCTTCGCCTAGGATTAGGGTTAGGTTATAAATATTAACATATAGTTTTAACCATATGTTAATATTTGCAGCTTTTGTAAATTTTGAACATTTTGTTAAATTAACATGACAT